CCACCTTAGGTGTATGTGGCTGGCGCCTTAGCCGCTTGAGCCACAGGCGCCGAGCCACCATTTTCTATTCCCATCAGCAACGCATGAAGATTTTAATTTCTCCTTCTCCTTACCAACACTTGTCATTCTCTGTTTTTTTGGGTTTTTTGGGTTATCACCATCTAAATGCATGAGAGGTGGTAGACTCCTATTTGGACCCTTAGTGTTGAAAAAGACAAGACTGGCCTCTAGGTGTCATCCCAGCTTTTTAGGCAGGTGATTGTGGGTAGCCGGGGAGGGTTTGTAAGGGAAACATTGCCTTTTTCTAGGAACATTTGACATCTGAGTTGAGGGCTAGGAGCTGCTGCAGGGTCATGGTTAGGCATTGGAAGGGCCATGTGATGCTTGTCTGCATCCTGGTTTTGGCTTCTTAAGCTTGAGATCGTAGAGAGTGTCTCTCATCCATTCATACAGCCCTTTAACTATTTACTGAGCACTTCCTGTGTGCTGAGCACTGCATCAGGGTTCTTGGGACATACCAGGACACACAAAACATCCTTGCTCTTCTAGTACTGACACCTGAGTGGAGAGATACATAGGAAGTCAATAAATAAACATTGATGACAAGACTGGCAGGTGCTGGGAACAAACATATGTTAGGGTGGCCAAATGAGGTGGCTCACGCCGATAATTCCAGCACTTTGGGGAAGCTGAGGTACAAGGGTCACTTGAGCTCAGTAGTCCAAGACCAGACTAAGCAAGAGGGAGACCCTGTCTCTACTAGAATAGAAAAATTAGCTGGGCACTGTGGCACATGCCTATAATCCCAGCTACTCAGGAGGCTGAGGTAGAAGGATCACTTGAACCCAGGAGTTTGAGGTTGGTGTGAACTATGAAGACGTCACTACACTCCAGCCAGGGCAACAGAGCAAGACCCTGTTGCCCAGCACACACACACCCCTAAAAACTGAAAGAACATTTCAAAAAAAAGGAATAGCACCAGGCAGGGTGGCTCATGCCTGTAATCCCAGCACTCCAGGAGGCCTAGGCAGGCGGATTGCCTGAGCTCATAATTTCAAGACCAGCCTGAGCTAGAGTGAGACCCTGCCTCTAAAAATAGCTAGGCATTGTGGTGGGCACCTGTAGTCCCAATTACTTGGGAGGCTAAGGCAAGAGAATTGCTCAAGCCCAGGAATCTGAGGTTGCTGTTGGCTATGATGCCACAGCACTCTATTGGGGGTGACAAAGTGAGACTATCTCAAAAAAAAAAAAAAAAGGGAACAGCATGTGCAAAGGCCCTGAGGGTGGTGTTTGCTAAGTGTGTTTAAGGAACAGCAAAGAAGCCAGTGTGGCTGGAGCTGAATAAATAAAGGGGAGAGTTGGGGGAGGGGAGGGCAGGGAAGTGGCAGAGACAGACTATGGTGAGCATTTGGCCCAAGTGAGATGGGAGCCGTGGGAGGTTCCAAGTTGCAATGGGATGGTGTGAGGGGGCATTTAGCACTGGAATATTGTGACTGCTCTACTCAGTATCCATGGTGACCATGATTTCTATTGTTTTCTTCATATTTTTATTTGAAGGGTAGTTTTCAATTATTTCTTCTCCTCTCTGCAGCTGAAGTGCTGTGGGGTGAATAACTACACAGATTTCTCTGGTTCATACTTTGAAATGACGACTGGGCACACCTACCCCAGAGGCTGCTGTAAATCCATTGGAACCACAGCCTGTGATGGGCACAATGTGTCCCCACAAGTCATCCGCCAGCAGGTAGCTCAAAATTTTGTTGTGTGTTTCCTCAATAGACCCCCAAAGGCTGATGACTTTTGTAAAAATAGCTTATTTGTGGGAACTCCAGCAAAGGGGGTCAGGGGAAGGAGAAACCAATTGTCCTTGAGTGTTCAGTTCATTTTGATAACATAGCCTTGAGGAGTTAAGGGTACCCTCCCCATTTCACAGAGGATTAACTTGAATCTCAGAGAAGTGATGTGACCGGTTCAAGGTCATGTGGGCTTGGCAGAATTGGGATTTGAATCTATGTTGGCTTGAGTCCACTGCAGCAATGATGATAGGAAGTGGTGATGCTAGTGATAATGATGGTTAGCCACATGACCGAGCACTCACTCTGTTGAGTTTTGTCACAATGTACCCCTTGAGGTAGGGGCTACTATTGTTTTGCAGATGGGGAAACTGAGGCACAGAGAGATTCTCATGGCCACAGAGTAGTAAAACTTGGCTTATAGCCCCACCCACTATTCCCTTTAACTTCTGCCATAAGTGAACAAACACAGTGATCTTCCCTGAGGGAAGAAATATGAATCATTTGTTCATTCATTCATTCTCACTGAACAGCTCCTTCTGGGAACCAGACCTAGTTTCAGGCCAGGGCCTCAGAAACAGTTATGGGCCCTGCATTGGTACACTAGCCCCTGCACAACCTGACTGTCACCTTCTCTCCTCCCTGCTCACTCTACTCCAGCCACCTTGACCTCTTCCAAGCTCTCAAAATCACCTGGCACCTGTCTACCTTGGGGCCTTTGGAAAGGCTGTTCCCTCTGCCTGGAATATTCTTCCCACCTCACCTCTTTCAACTCTGTGCTCAAATGTCACTTCCTCAATGAGGCTGTTTTGGACGCCCCATCTGTAAAAGGATCTCCTATCCTGGGCATCACATTCCAGCCTCATAACCCTGCTTGTGTCTTTTCAGCATTTATTGCCACCTGATAGTGTTATCACTGAGCTCCCTGTCACCTGTTTCTTCACTCAAGTGTTGGTCCTATGAGGGTAGGAATTTTGTCTGTTTTATACACTACTGAGCTGCTAGCTATTATGACCTTGGAGAAGCTGCTCTATCTCTCTGTGCCTCAGTTTTCCCATCTATAAATGGGAACAGGGCTGGGTTCAGTGGCTTATACCTGTAATCCTAGCACTCTGGGAGGCTGAGGTGGATGGATTGCCTGAGCTCAGGAATTCAAGACCAGCCTGAGAAAAAGTGAGATCCCATCTCTAAAAATAGAAAAACTAGCTAGATGTGGCAGTAGGCACCTGTAGTCCCAGCTACTCAGCAGGCTGAGGCAAGAGGGTGGCTTGAGCCCAATAGATTGAGGTCAATGTGAGCTGTGACGCCACAGCACAAGGGCATCTACCAAGGGCGACATAGTGAGACTCTGTTTCAAAAAAAAAAAAAAAAAAAATATATATATATATATATATATATATATATAAATGGGACCAACTGGATCTGCCTCACAGGATTTTTGTACCTAGGATACAGTAGGCACTTAATAAAATACCTAATATGGGTGGTGCCTGTAGTTCAGCAGCTAGGGTGCTGGCCACATACACCAGGGATGGCGGGTTCAAACTTGGCCCAGGCCTGCCAAACAATAACAACTACAACAACATCAAAAAAATAGCTGGGCATTGTGGTGGGCCCCTGTAGTCCCAGCTACTTGGGAGGCTGAGGCAAAAGAATCACGTAAGTCCAAGAGTTTGAGGTTGCTATGAGCTGTGAACGCCACAGCACTCTACTGAGAGTGACATAGTGAGACTCTGTCTCAAAAATAAATAAATAAATACCAATTATGTGGTACAGGGCACTAAATACAGACAACAGTAAGCTCAAGATGGTCTGAACTTCCAGAACCAAGATACGTCAGGAGTCTAGAAGAAGAATCAACTCAGTGACTGCAGGAAGCAGAGTAGAGGCCCCACCACCTGCAGGAGGCTTCCCCATCCACCCACTTTATCTGGTCTCCTAACCTTTTTGAGCCACAGTTTCCTCATCTATAAAATGGAGAAAAGAATAGTACTCACCTCATAGGGTTCTGTGAGACATGAGTGAGCAAATTACATGTAAAGGGCTGAAAAACTGTTGAATACATGTCAGCCCTTCTGTTCATATGTAAAGAGTGCTCAGAAATAACTAACAGTTACTGAATGCTGACTGTGATGCACTTACTGTAGATTCCTTTAATCATAAAAATCCTGTGAGACAGATTTAGTTGGTCCCATTTATAGACAGGAAAACTGATCCACAGAGATGTGTAGTGACTTCTCCAAGGTCACACAGCTAGTAATAATCCAGAATGCCCAGGCACACTTAATTGCCACACTTGAATGAGAAGAATGAGGAGGTCACAGAAGATATGAGAGTATGTGTGAGGAAGCAGCCCAGTGAGAAGGAATCAATGACCCTATAGGTTTGTCACTTTCTCTTCTCTGAATTTGAGAGGACTCTGGGTGGCCCAAGGGGTGGGTGTTGATGAAGACTAACCAGCTCTTGTTTGTTTTGGTATTTGTATATCCTTAGGGCTGTTTCCGAAAGCTCCTGAAAATAACCAAGACTCAGAGTTACACTCTGTGTGGAGTCTCTCTGGGGGCAGCAGTGATACAGGTAAGCTGCAACCTCTCAGGGACACACTGAGCTCTCTTATTAAGCATTTACTGTGTCCTGAACTCTGTTCTGGGCATTGGTGACACAGCATGGCTGATATTCTAGCAGAGGAGAGAGATGATTATTTCACTTAAAGGTACTTGCTGGGGTGGGTGTTGTGGCTCAAACCTGTAATCCTAACACTCTGGGAGGCCAAGGTGATGGATTGCCTGAGCTCAGGAGTTCAAGACCAGCCTGAGCAGTAGCAAGACCCTGTCTCAACCAAAAATAGTAAAACTAGGCAGGTGTTATGGCGGACACCTGTAGCTCCAGCTACTTGGGAGTCTGAGACAAGAGGATCACTTGAGCCCAGGAGTTTGAGGTTGCTGTGAGCTATGATATCACAGCACTCCACTCCAGGACAACTAAGTAAGATTCTGTCTCAAAAAAAAAAAATAAATAAATATAGGTGCTTGCTGAGAAATAAAACAGGGTGATGGGGGAGGGAAGGAAACCTGGATTTCCCTAAGGAGGTAACATTTGGCCAGCCACCCAAAGAGGTGAGGGAAAGCCACATGAATATACTCAAGAAGGCAGTGGGAATAGCTAGTGCAAAGGTCCTGTGGCAGAAATAGGTTGGGTCATTCAAGGACCGGCAGAGAGACCCAGGTGGCAGGAGCAGAGCAAGGAAGGAGGAGAAGAGGATATAGGGGAGTTGATGGGGGTAGGTCAATCGGGGTCATTCAGGGAGGGATCTGCTTTTATTCTGAATATGAAAAGACATTAAAAACATCTCAACTTTTCACTTCACAAATTTTATTGAGCAACTACTGTTCTGCTAGGCACTTTGATAGGCACCAAGAAAGAGCAATGAACAGACAAAAATTTCTGCTTTTGTGATGCTGGCAGTCTAATCAGGGGGATGGAAAAGAAACATGATTTTTAAGATTGGAGAATATATTGTCTGAGAGTGAGAAGTGTGAAGGAGTTAAGAAGTAGAGCTTGGAAGAGAAGAATGGAGGTCAGTCACTGTAAGCAGAAAGTTCTCCTTAATCATTCATCTAGAAAGAGGAAAAGTTATGAGGGTTCTGGGGGCCTCAGTCCTGATTCAAGTGTGGAACAGGACTCAACACTATGCTCTCTCACCCAGCTGATGAGAGAGGTGCCCCACCTACTCTTAGCCTGGGGAAGCCTGACAGGGCGAGAGCTGAAACTGTGGACTTGTCCTGTTCACATTCCTCAGCAGCTCTCACTGAGGGCCGGAGCCTGGGCCTCCCTCATTTGCAAAATGAGCTGCCCAGTGGCTTGTTGTAAGGCACTGATGAGGTGGATATGTTAGAGGCTTGGCGTGACTGCAAGTGTGGACTGATTCTGGGATGTTACTGTCATCAGCTTTAGAGAGGAAGACCCAGGGAGGCAGTGGCTGAAGGTGATGAGTTCTCCGTGTACACTAGAGATGTTCGAAGACCACTGGCTATGAAAACACCACGCATCACAGCTATTCTTGTTCCTCAACCTGTCCAAAGAAAACCACATGTGCCTGCTCATGGAAAAGAAAGTCCAGCCCAGGCAGGCCCCAGCAAGAAAAGAACTAACCAATAAACCAGGGCAGTGAATGGAAGTCCTTTTCAATTAAATTGATCCCAACTTGTAAATATAGAATAAAATATAGTGTGTCATGGGCAAAATAAAAGAAGAAATAAATACTGGGAGAATATTTTCCAACTTAAAAAAAAGGAAAATCGGCTGGGTGCCTTGAGCCTAAGACACCAGCTACATACACCTGAGCTGGTGGGTTTGAATCCAGCCCAGGCCCGCCAAACAACAATGATGGCTACAACCATAAACAATAACTGGGTGTTGTGGTGGACACCTGTGGTTCCAGCTACTTGGGAGGCGGAGGCAGGAGAATTGCTTGAGTCCAGGAGTTGGAGGTTGCTGTGAGCTATGATGCCACAGCACTCTACCCAGGGCAACACCTTTGAGGCTCTGTCTCAAAAAAAAAAAAAAGGCAAATCCCAGTTCCCTTTTTGTTTTGTTTTATTTAGTTTTTCTTTTTTTGAGACAGAGTCTCACTCTGTTGCTCTGAGTAGAGTGACTTAGCATCATAGTTCACAGCAACCTCAAACTCCTGAGCTCAAGTGATCCTCTTGCCCCAGCCTCCAGAGTAGCTGGGACTACAGGTGCCTGCCATGATACCTGGCTAGTTTTTCTATTTTTAGTAGAGACAGGGTCTTGCTCTTGCTCAGGCTGGTCTTGAACTCCTGAGCTCAGACAATCCACCCACCTTGGTCTCTTAGAGTCCCAGAGTGCTAGGATTACAGGCGTGAGGCACTGCACCCGGCCCAGGCACCCTCTTTTTGTTGTTGTTTGTTTCTTTCTATATCTTTTTTCTTTGGTGCATGGGCCAGGAAACGCCAGATTTTCTCTTGAAAAAGAAAAAGCTTTTGGGAGGCCTGTGGCTCAGTGGGTAGGGCGCCAGCCCCATACACCGAGGGTGGCAGGTTCAAACCCAGCCCCAGCCAAAATGCAACAAAATAGCCGGGCATCATGGCGGGCACCTGCCTCAGCTACACAGCAGGCTGAGGCAAGAGAATCGCCTAAGCTCAGGAGTTGGAGGTTGCTGCGAGCTGTGACGCCATGGTGCTCTACCAAGGGCGATAAAATGAGACTCTGTCTAAAAAAAAAAAAGAAAGAAAACAAAACAAAACAAAACAAAAAGAAAAACTTCATCAAAACAACTAACCTAATCAAGCAAAGAATTCAGTGACAAAGAATAGAGACCTTACACAGTTAATCCTAGAAACTCACTAAATGACAAAACAACTACACAAAAATCCTGAAGGGAAGGAGAAATCTGACTCCAAGTTGCCACGCCATATTATTGAAAATGTCTGGTGTTCACCAAAAAAACTGAAGACATGAAAACGAACAGGAAAGTGTGGCCCACGTACAAGAAAGAAATAGGCCTGGCTCAGAGCCTGTAGCTCAGCAGCAGTCAGGGCACTGGCCACATATACCGGGGCTGGTGGGTTTAAACCGGCCCGGAGCCTGCTAGACAACAATGACAACTACAACAAAAAAATAGCTGGGTGTTGTGGCAGGTACCTGTAGTCCC